GGCTGTGTTGTGTTTTAAGGAGAATGAGTCACAACAGAATTAGGACATTAAACACTTTATTGTAATGTTGACTACTTGGCAGTATATGCTGCTACTTGCTATTTTTGTTGGTCTAAAAAGAAATAAGCCATAATGAAAGCTTCTATGTCTTGAAATTAAATCCAGAGATTTTCTCCCCTCTTGGGATATTTTCAGCATGATTTTTGTAACTCATCTCTAAACTATTAAGAGTCATTTACATCTCATTTGTGTTCCAACAAGAAATAAAATGTATGTATTGGCAATGACTTGTCCTAGATTATCAACATCTGCCTAAGTGCACACATAAATGACTTTTCAACTTTTTAGGGGGCAGAGAACTGCAGTAAGAAAACATTCTGAATGAGGCTGGTCCTTAGATTTCTAGAGGGGAACAGCAGCATTAACTCTGGAGCTTTCCAAAGAGTTTTTAGCCTTTCTTTCCCAATCATTTTCAGCCTTCTGGAGGTGATTTCCTCTTCCTTTTTTCCTCACAGTAAAACTTGAGAATCTTGAGAGGAATTATTTTCGAACCCAGAAAGAATTAAAAAAACCCACCTCACTTAGAAGCAGAGGACTGGTTTACTGAAGATGGAAACACTTACTATAAGATGGAAACTCTAGCAAGAGTAAGTCTACAGTGGGATTTGCAAAAGCACTGAATGTTGGCCTGACTCTGCCCCCACGGATGTCAACTGTCACTGACTTCAACAGGAGCAATCGCAGCATCAATGTCCACTTTTGACAATCCCAACCATAGTGCTGGATGAGCACATTTTTTTAAAGAAGGCAAGCATTTCCCTGGTTGATAGCCATCATAATACTTAGCATGTCCATAGAGATTTTCATTTTTAAAGCTCTTTAGAGAATAACTGATCTTCACAGTTCCCTGTGAGGTAGGCAAAATTAGTATTATTGTCCCCTTTTTAGAAATGGGGAAACTGAGAAAAAGAGGTGTGGTGACTTGGTCAGCATCTCCCAGTGAGTCAGTGACCATGTTAGTACTAGAACTCATTCTATCATCTGAGTATTCCTGTTTGTGCTATTATATCAGAATCTAGTAATGTTAGTAATTTAGGTTTGTATAAAAAAAGTATTTTAGCATTATACCTAAAACCTGATAAGATGCCTTATCTTGAGCAAGTTTGTACAGCACCTAGAGCAATGGGGCCCCAACCTGGTTGCCCTCTAGTCAGTACCACAGACTGAATGTTTAATATACCATAAGTAAAATGTATAAGGTTTCTGTCATAGAGACAATGATAATAGTACTTATATGCCTTAGAAATCCTCAGTATTGAAAGCTCAAATTTTGTTCGAGCTGCATGAGACTTCGAAACAAGTCTCAGCCAGAAATCTTTGCAGTTTGTTGGACTGATGAGCAGAAAAGAACAAGTACATACATTATTAAAAACCAGTACATTTTTTAAAGAAAGATGTATTGTATTACTGTGCTATGTACATTTCAATAGAGATGTAACCCTTCTGCCCATCTAAGTTGGCAGCAACAAGGGCCGGGTTCTGTATCTAGGGGTTCCGTTTCAATAACGCAATGCAAAATCGGCTTGAGCCCCCACCCAGTGACCTGGGACAATTACATACCACCCCCTGGGCGCCTCTAAGAGGCAATACTTCCCCTCTCACAAGCACGGAGTCTGAGTGTAACAGAAAATGTTTAATAACATGAGGTAAACGACATCAGCATTAAATTGGAAAAAACACCACAAACAGGCTTCATGAGCAAAAAACCCACCCCAGCAAATTGGGCTGTGTCCTTTCCCTTTGGTTCTTGAAACCAGCAATCCAAGAATCACCAAAGTCCCAAAAGTCCAACAACCCCAAAGTCTCTTGGGTCCAGCAACCCAAGGATCACCAAAGTCCCAAAAGTCCAACAACCCCCCAAAGTCTCTTGGGTCCAGCAACCCAAGGATCACCAAAGTCCCAAAAGTCCAACAACCCCCCAAAGTCTCTGTCCCTGGTCAGTGCAGCCCCAGAGTTCAAGCGGGGGGGTGTTAAGGGGTACCTTACGTGATCCGAGGCCGACTGGCTGCCTCTCCATGGGATTCCGCCGCAGCCTTCTCCACGAGCCGCTCCGCTCCACTCCAGCAGCTGTCCCGCCGTCCACGAACTGCTCTGGCAGCTGCTCCGCTCTGCTCACCAACCTGTGAGCCGCTCAGCTCTGCTCCACTTCAGCCATTCCTTGGGCTGCTCCCACAAGGCTCCGCTCTGCTCTGCTCGCTGCTTCTCCAGCCGCTCCACCCTGCTCACCGACCTGTGAGTCGCTCAGCTCCGCTCCAACCGTCCCCGTGAGGCTCCACTCTGCTAACTGCTCCGCCAGCCGCTTAGCAATATAGCTTCAGGCTCCCCCACTAGTTAACACAGTCTCAGTGATCTCAGCTCTTAATAACTTTAGCTCTTTTGTGATTTCAGCTCTTAGCAATTTCAGCTCATAGTAGGGGAGCCCCAGTGCTAGTGCACCATTGGGCCAAAGTGAATTCAGCTCAGCAGCCTGTAACTAGACTCCTAATGGAATCAAAGTTAGCTCTGACATTTAACAGTGGAGAGAGGAGGTAGTGCAATTGGTGTTTCAAACCCTCAAAGAGGGCCCATACCATCAGGTACTATGCTTGATCTTAGCTCATAGAGCCTATCCACATCCTCTCTCAATTCACTGGGTTTTGTAACCCATGCCCCTCGTCAAGCAAGTGCTACTTAGGTAATGGTGAAGGACTCACTCAGTCCTTCTGTCATACAACAGTTCCACTGGCCTTGATTCACAGAATCAGGGTAACAAAACTTTATTCTTCCTGCCCCAATAATAGAGAAACTGGGGATCCCACACCAGCCAAAGTAACCACTTTCAGTTGCTGTTGTTTCATGCCAGGCAAGTGGGTGTGCCTATGCAAACCAGATCAGCCCCTGGAGTTCTTTTCCACACTCGCCATAATTCACCACCAGATGTCAGGGTAGAGCTCATCCTGACTCTGGTTACATCGACATTACAGTATCTCTTGGGAATGCCCACACCTGTTCTTTGTAATAGTATAGCAGACTACGGTGCTCTTGCTGCTGTGAAGATGTAGTTTCAAGGCACATCATATATTCAGCAGCACAGGGATCATGATAGAACCAATCCACACATCATAGCAGTGTCCATTAAAATGTGTTAAACTGACCTGTGTGTCATCCCAGAGCAGCAATGAAGCCAAAATGAACCATGGAAGGAGAAAAGACCCCCACTTCCGTGTGGAAACACTACCTCTGGAATGCATCTGGAAGCATAAATTTAAAGTGTCTCTCTCAAGTCTTTTTCAGCCCTATTTTACGTATAGATGTGCTATTTAACAGTAACAGTCTTGTCTTTTCACTGCTGTGAATTTTCTGGCTTCCTATTAATCTCTCTGAGTGATCCATCTGCCATGCGTTGGCAGCGTTCCTTCAGAAACTAATCGTATAAGAAAGCAAGTAAGGAATTGTACAATGTCCAGGTCAGGGCATTTAGGAAAAGTGCAGTTAGCTCTAGTTAAACAGTAAAATTACTCTGCTAGATTTTTAAATCATCAAGGTGAAAAACAGTTTTACCATTTAACTGTCACCACTATTTTAAACACCACTTCAGCATTTGTGCTCCTTTTGCCGCTGCTCTTTGTTAGCAGTGAGGTTGGACACAGCTGCTGCAACAAAAGGCCCATTTACACTGCAAGTCTAATTGTGCCAGTGCACTGTCGTCTGGCATAGTTCAGTGTGTGTGTTAGCACAGTTTTTTGTTCTGTAGCGTGGAGATGACAACTCATTTATAGAATTGTATTAGAGAATCATTACAGCTTAGGTCATGGATCTAACAATGCCTTTCTGTACACTAGCTCCACAACCACGTTTACAAACCCCACAACTATGCATAATTCTTGCTATTCGGGTGCTAACGGAGTTTGCTGTAATAGCAGATTTTGGGATGCTCCCTATAATAAAGAATTAGAGCCTGGCTTTGATTTAAAAAAACGGAACAAAATTGTTCATCACGTAGTGCATATGTTAATTAGGGGAACAATGTGTTATAATTTTGCTAGCAAGAACCTTGTCTAAATGTGTTTTTTTGCCAATCTAATTGTGGTGAATGTGTCCTCATTCACACTACTACTGTAACTAATCAAGCCACTGTGAAGTGAGGGGCTCTATTTCTCCCTTCTTATACCCAGAAGGTAACTGTACTGGTTTTGCACAGTGTGAGTACTCTGTCTGTACTGAATGGATCATATTTAGTTGTAATAATGATAGCACACATTTGCAGATAATTGGCAGTATAGTTGTTTCTATTCTTTGGGTCTCTGGCAGAGATCATTATTATAGAGGCAGAGAGTCCCTGCTCTGTCACAGGCTTCCTGCATAACCTTGGGCAAGTCACTTAGCCACTTTATGTCTCAGGACAATAATAGTACTTCCTTACCTCACAGGGGTGTTGTGAGGTGCTCAGACACTACAGTAATGGGGGGATGGAAATACCTGAAACAGAATAAATAGCTTTGGGTGCCTATAAAGAACAAAAAGGAATTGTTTAGCCTTAACTAGTGCAGCATGTGACATTAGTAAGAAGTGATGCAGCATATATGCAAAGTTGCAGGAAAGAGATCTTTTACAGAGCATGCATAGAGACTAGCATTATGTGCTGAGAGTCCTGTGTTTGGTAGCAGCTTGGCCCTGCTTGCACACTTGAGCCCCCTGGTGACACACCGCATTAGGTTCCTCCTGGAACCTCACCATCTTTCTCCATTTGCACTCATCATATTACCCAGCAAGTGATTCGATGGTTGTCTCATGCAGTGGTTGAAATACCATAGTGCAACTCAGAGTATCATTAGGACCTAGGGAAAGTAAAGCTGATGCTTTCTCTCTCTCGAGTTGTTTTATTCCACACAGTAGCACAAGCATTAAGACAAGTGATATGGTGGCTAATAACTTGTTTTTAAAAGTGGAAGCACTGAGATTTTATTTTTGGTAATTGTTTTTTGTTGATAATACTTTGACAGCTTTATTGTTCATGATAGCAAGGGCCAATGCGTGAATTGTTTAGTTCATCAGACCCTTTTCCTGTGTAATTACCACTGGAAAAAAGTGCATCTCTAAATGGACGAACATATTAAAGTTTGTGTGTAACCTTTCATATAAAAAGTTAAAAAACAGGATCTCTACTTTACGTTCACTATTTATTGATATCAGCAAACATGGATTTATGATGATATTGCTCATCATTTTATATCAAGCTCTTGGTGAAGATAATGCTTCACAGGCAAACAAAGACAAAGTATATGCTCCAACAGGCTCACAATTTAATAATAGACTCAAATGACTACTAAATGATAGCACACAATCGTGGGTGGCATTGGTATGTAGCAGCCCACCCACTCGGCTGGAGTAGGAGCAGCCACTCCCACCAGCTAGTTCTGCTGCAAATTACTGAGAGAAGCTTCATAATCTTTAGCATCCCCATGCTAGGAGAGAGGTTCCATAAACCCCATTGTGTGATTCCTAGGCGGAAAAGCAGCAGTTTAGGAGAAAGATGAGGGGGCACTTAAGGGAATGGGATGGGTTTCCCATCTGTTGAACATCGTATTTGTGAACTTTTGTGAGCACAGGCTAAGGTTTGTAAGCACCTCAAAACATACACACGAGGCTAAGTGTAAGTGGGTTTGAGAATCAATGAGATTATTTCACACAGCTCTACTCATCTGCTCTCCTTCCAGTTGCTGCACATATGAGCATCAACAGTTTCCAGACTTTGTTAAGTATGCCAGGAGGAAAGATTTTTTTTCTGTTAGCCAATGATGGTGTGTCAGGAGTAATAGAATTTGAGAGTCTAAGGCAAATTAGGGAAAAACCACAGGCAAGCTGAAAGCATTGGAATTTGGCTTTATTTCAGGTCTCCTCCCTCATCACTCTCCTTTGCAGGAAACAGGGTGACAACAGTCAATAGCGAAACACAGGGTAGAAATACAGTATCATCAGAACAAAGTCTCATTGGCTGATTGGTGATTCTGTGTGTAAAAGATGTGCCTAGCAACTTTTGAGAGCTAATTCATCTTTTTGTGGATGTCACATTTAGGATAGTAAATTTAAACTACAGAATATGTGTAGGCTCTATTTACTATATCTAGAAAGGCCAGTAATGATGTAAATTAGACGACTGATGAAACATGACATAAAACGTATGTCATTCCCACATCAAGCCTATATATCTTGCCTAGTCTCAGACATGAAGGCGATGATGCAACAAGACTAAGTGTAGGCAAATGTAATGCTGTCAGTGAACTCCATCTTGTTTTGAACCATATCTTCTCCAACATATGTTATTCTACAAATTGGACCAGTAGGATGATATAACATGGAAAGGCTGTGCAGTGTGAAATGAATAAAGCAATGGACAAACATTAATTCAGTGGTGATGGGCCACTGTCAGTAACTATTACTATAATATACTATTTCACTAGACAAACTGACAATGATCAAAATGAGACTGATTGGAGACAGCTTCCCACAAGCAAAGAGTGCATTTCACTGGGTGGGAGAAGCTAGTTGATGATATTCCATGCTTCCCTGCCCCACATCCCAGGGGTGTTGTGAAGTTTAATTCATTAGAATTTGTAACTCTTTCAGATTCCCAAATGGAAGAACAAATATTACCCTTAGTGAATATAGAATGTGGCAAACACAAGCTGTTTTAGGAAAAGAAGTAACAGCCCAATGCTCAAATGCTGCTGTGACGGATTAACAATACTTATTAACCGTAAAACAGCCCAGAGACCCCAATCAGGATCAGGGCCCCATTATGCTGGGTATTATTTATACATACAGGCATTCCCTGCCCCCAAAGCTGACTTTATTGTGCGCTCTGGAGCCTGAGGCACCTTGTGAAAACTAGGTACATAATGTCTCAAGTTGGGCACACAAATTGAGGTACATAATATCAGTGGCCACTTCTGAAAATCTGGCTGCATGTGTAAAGAAATCTGGTATTTCTTTGTGTATGACAGAAAGGTATCTAACAACAAAGGCAACAGATTATGCTTTTACAACAGTAAAACTGAGTTCATTCACAATTAAAATCTTTTAAACAATGCATTAATTTGTTGCAATTTTATAAATAAATTGCCACAAGTACACTTCACCATAAACCCCAGCCTCTTAGGAAAAGGACCCTTTGTTAGTAAAATACTTTTAAAGCAATGTATTAGTCAGAAGCTGTCCAAAGTACTACACTACTTGTCTGAAGTACCACACTACTTATTCTTGAACTCCAAGGTTTGCTTTTGATGCTTTTATATTGTTTGCTAACAGGCTATAAGAAAAATGGAAGGAGAAAAAAACCACACCTTTAGCACAGTTCATTTAGGCTATTCAGGCTGTGCAGAAAAAGAGAATTCAAGCAAAGAAGCTAGGGAGAAAATTGCCCTCTCATCTTAGGGATGAGCTGAATTGATAGCACGTGTAGAAGAAGAACTACACTGTTTTCCCCAGAAGATACTCTATTAATATTAATTATAGCAGTAGCACCTCCAGGCTCCAACTGAGATGACCGCCCCATTGTGCTAGGCACTGCACAGACATATAGGGAAGACAGTCCTGGCTGGAAGAGTTTACAATCTAAATAGACAAGAGAGACGTGAGATTGGGGCAGGGTGAGGGCACACACATGATGCAACTAGTCCAAAGTCTTGCAGCAGATCATTAGTAGACTCACAAATAGAATTCCAGTCTCTGAATTCCTGGTCAAGCATATTAGCCACTAGACTATGCTGCCTCTCTGTCTGGAGCAAGTGTCTTGTTTGTTCTAAATTCCTCACCCTTTCTGATTAGATAATTCAACCTAAACCAAACAAGAGAGAAACTATTAGTAAGTGGGTTATTCATGTCTCTTGTGGCCAGAAACCATAAAAAAACAAAATAATAATTCCAGCAAACAGTAAGACAAAAAGGCATGGAAAAATTATGTACTTTACTTTTGTGCCCATGTACCTATCAGAGGGGTATTTACAGCATTACATTGTGACAAATTATTGAAACAGTTCACAGACTTAACAATAGTTCCTCTTTCCTTAGCCAGTTCTGGATCAGTAAAAAAACTTTTTGTACATATTTGAGGTTGTTAACATATCTATATTGTGCGATGGATGGCAAACTCCCCAAATATGCATCACCACAGTGGGGAGTGAAAGGGAACAGTTAATCAGACTGAAATCCTCTCTGCTTTGCAGTGTGGTTTAAAGATTATTTAGCAGCCAGTTCCTTAGACTGTTGAGATTCCTTTTCAGCCATCTAATATTTTTTGTTATAGTTTCCAGCACAACTTCAGTGATTTTTAGCTGTGATCCTTGGTCCTTCAGAGACCTAAAGAAGTGTTTCACCTAGAAAACAGGATAATCATTAATGCCTTGGGGGTTATTTTTTGGAGAAATGTCGGGTTAATTTCTGTCTGCATTTAAACACCTGCTGGAATTAATCATCCTGATGGTGGTTCCCTCAAAACTCAGGTGATATGCACTATGCTTTGCCACAAATCCTCTCCCACCTTCAGCCAAGTACCCTCCAAAGAATAAAAATTGTTAATACTAAAAATAAAACAGATATATATGTCTATTAAAAATGAACTGAAATATGTTGACCATTCACCACCCTGACCACTTGATACCCTTCCTTCAACCACGCAGAGCCCCACTGACTTTGGCAGGGCTTTGCTTGGGCACAGGAACTCAGATGATCTTTCCTGTAGAATTGAAGCCATGGATTGGATGTTATATCCTTCCTCTCCCTCCTCTCCCCACACCTACCCTTCATCCATTTATTGCTGCTGTTTTTTAAGATAGTCTTTGTAGCAAGGAGTATACAATGCCCTCCCACATGCCTGTGCAGCAACCTCAAGCATTGGCTCCTTAATCATATATGTGCTTATGCAATGAACTGAACATTTTCCCCACATGAAACTAAAATATATAGACTACAATACTGGCAATTACATGAATAGCCAAAGAATAAATCTCTTCCAGTATGCACAGAAAAGAAATGTGTATAATACAACAAGAGATCTAACACTTTTTCTGGACACTAAAATGTAACACACATAATATATGCATGTCTCATCGATAAGTTACTTTGGAATGAATGCTAACATTTTTGTCAAGCTATTAAATGGATTTTCAACTTTAACGTAACTTTCCTTTTCATCATTGTAACACTGAAAGAGCACTTTCTCATGAGGGCTGTTCTGGGCAGTTAAGCATTTTTATTTGTTAGCTTAAGAAATATGAGACTATAAATTACCAATAAGTATTAATACAAAGTCACAAACCTCTTCTAGCTTGTCTTCGGAGGAAAAGCGAGATGTAGTGCCAACAATAATAGTTCTTATAGAAAAAGAGGCTAATTCAAACCTGTAAACAAGAAAGAAAAACTATACAGTAATATAAACAATATACCAATATCTGAACTGCACCTTGTATCAGTACAGAATTTCTTTACTAGTCTCTTTCTAGTATGTGAATATTTTTTAGTTAAAGAACCGGATATGTTCATGGAGGATAGGTCCCCATCGATGACTATTAGCCAAAATTATCAGGGACGTAACCCCAGGCTCAGGCCAACCTTAAACCTCTGACTAACAGAAGTCAGGAGTGGAAGACAAGGGTGGGTGACTCCATAACTGCCCTGTTCTGTATGTTCTTAATGAAGCTCTGGTATGGGCCACTGTCAGAGACAGGACACTAGGCAAGATGGACCTGATCTGACCCAGTATGCCAGAATCTTTGTTCTTAAGAAGTTACACTATCAAATTAAAAATATTTTATAAACATATATTCTTAGCCATATGGATTTATAGCCACTGTAGACTATCAAACTGAAAGCATTTTCTATTGTCTAATTTGCTTTTCAGTATTTATGTTGTTTGAACTTCTCTCCATTTCTCCAAGAGGGACAATAAAAATACTAGTTCTAGCAGCACGGTGCAAGCATGGATCCTGTACCCCATCTTGAAGTGCAGGGTACGTGCTTCCTCTCTAATGAAGAAAGACAAACACTCCTGTGCTCATTAAATTGTCCCCGGGACCTTCAGGGTTACTTCTTTAGATCAAGTGGTAGGAGCTAGTGCTTTTGGGGCCCACTTCCATAAATGTACCATATATAAAAAATAAGGTAAGTGTCTTCTCTAGTGGAATAAATTATCCCTCTTTACACTCTTACTTGTCAGGATTTGCCACCAATGGTGGCTAAAGTGGATACGCAAATACCAACTTTTTAAGAAGTTTGTTCCAGTTTTTTCTGACAAAATTCCAAGCAAGCCCCTGTCCCTCTGGATTTCTGGCAATAGCATGAAGAAGAGCTGCTAGATCCTGAGTCTTGATAACCTCACCTTCCATGCCCAGCTCAATTAACCTGTAAAAATTAAAACAGATCAGTAGCTTCAGCTTGTTTCTACTCAGCTTCTAGGAGGTACTGCTAGACCACTACTTAATGCACATTTCCTTTTGATATTCAAACATGGGGACTAAATATAAAATAGGAGTATGGAAAATAATGTGCAGGATGACAGTTCAGTGCTTTAAATATCAATTTTCAAGTTAACTAAGTGGTGCTACTACAACTTTTTCACATTATAGGAATAACTGTATCACTGACTTGTAGGTACTTGATTTCAATAGGGGCTTCTGCATAAAACCTAACATAGTAGGGCCCAGAATCGTCTCATGAAATGAGGTTCTTCTATTTTGTAAGAGCACTGTTCGTTGCTCAGTAACTTCCAGCTCTAATCTTCTCAATTAACAAAGTAAAATGATTTATTTGAATTGCCAGCCCTGCAAACCCAGCGTGGTATCTGAAAATCCTGGTGGAGTCTTTTTGGCTATTCATCCACACTAAACATTCTGCATTCTGTAATTTTGTTGATGATATACAAGCCAGAATAGAATCCAGCTCACTCTGCTGGAGCAGTATTGGCTTTGGAATGCTAACGAACACTTGTTTTAGTCACTATGTACTCAGACCTGACTCAATACAAACAGGAAACACATCTCTTAACTGAGAACAATTCTTACATGGTCACTTTTCAGAACACAACTACACTTCAAAGGATTTGAATTTCTTTGTTGCATGTACTGTATACATAGTATCTCAACAGCTTCTTTCTAATGGCCTTTCATGTACCATCAACCTCAGGCCAAGATCCTTAGAGTAGCATCTCATCAATAATTATTTAGGAAAGTGATGAAGTAAATAAAAAAAAATACAGTTCCAAATTTTCAATGTGTTTCCCACTGCTGTTGAGATTCTCACGATTCCATAGTGCATTGGTGAAGGAACTTGGTATTGTTTTGTATTTAATAATTGAGCAAAGACAATTCTTACTTTGTCAGTTTTTCACAGTCCCTTCTGGTTGTCAAAGCATAGAGGATTTTGTTCTTTTCTGCACCTGACATCGACAGACTATACTGCTTCAGTAGATAATTCCACCCTGCTGTTGTCTGTGCTCCAACTGAGTAGACTGTCTTCAGAACATCCGCTGGAAGGCTGTGGCATCAAACAAAGAAAGGGAAAGAGAAGGAGGATCAAATGACTTTTTTAGCCCTGTGTAGCTCTTTCTACTTTCTGTCTACACAGCTGTACAATATTCCAAGAGTCATATGCCAAGTTTGTTTACAATTTATTTTTCCTAATGCTCTCCCATAAAGTTACGCTGAAGGACATGGTAATGGTCAATTTTAGGGCTGTGCAGCATTTTCTGCAATTTTTTTCCTGCCCATTTTCATGTCCCTGAAATTTCACAAGAAAATAATTTGGTTGCAAAAACGTGCAAAATCAGAAATGTTAACGTTACCATCTTAAAACAATTTTGGCTAGTTTTTTTCTGAAAGGTTGAAAAGATTTTTCACGAAAGCGGGCCAGTTTAGAATTTATAAAAAAGTTAGGAAATGTTTAGAATTTGGAGCATTTTATATTATATTGTGAATATTTCACACATCTTTAGTCAAGACCTGTTTCCACCTAGAATAACACTCCAGAAAGCAGAAATGCACTTTTCACCTTTTCTGTGAATCTATGTATTACAAGGAAATAGCTAGCCTGGAAGGATTCTAGTGATTTTGGACATTGATATGAGTTCAAGTAGGATAAGACAAGTGACCTGGTGAATTAGAAATCCCCTTGTCTGGAAGTCTACTCAATACTCAAGAAGTCACTGGTCAGCACAGATGATATCACCAGCTACCCTGTCCCTAGTCTCTCCTTCTTGGGAAGATTATGGTGAGCCAACTGTGACATTCACTGACGGTGTGACTTTGAGTGGCTGTAATTAGTACATGGGATAGAACTTCTGGGCTCCCAGGCCTGTGCTTAGCACACTAGACCACACTCTAGGGAAGAACAGTACTGCAGTCCTTTGGATGGATGGCAGAGCAGTGAACTGACCTATAAACAGATTAGGAGACTTGCATCATTCAGCAAGGACTGGAAATGCTACAGTGCACTTGTACTATTAAAAGGCAATGAGTTGTAGAGTCAGGGTGTGGAAAAGGTCAATGAAAGCATTTTGTTTCCTGGTACTGTATATCTTGCACAAGCACCAGAAGTAAAGAGAGGAAATATTTGCACATAATTACAAAATAAAGCACAGGGGAGACTGGAAAGTGAACCAGTCTGATAACTAATTGAGGTTCAAGAGACCAAGGAGAAAATAAATCCCATTACTGCTTGTTCACCCAACTCTGATGTTGTGAGATATCATTACAGTACACATGGAGCAGCTGGGGCAAAACAGACTATTCCAAAGCACATAATGTAATTAAATGTTAAACAAGCTATCGATTTATCCACCCACCCTCCCAATAATCTTGCAAAAATCTATTTGACCACCAACCCAAGGAAAGTTACTTCTTTGGATGGGCAAATAAAATATTAATAGTGTTTTCATGATCACCAGTCATCATTGTGCAGACTAGGGGTGTGGAAGTAATTTTCTGCCTGGGCTGGAAAATGTCATGACAATTTTGTAAGGCATGTATTTATGGTATTTCTAGCATATCCATCAGCAGAATAAACCACAACTGTAAAAAGTGTATTATTTCTGTGTTTAGCTGAGTAGGAAAGGAAAGAAAGACAAGCACTAAATGATACCTTTAACTGGATTAAGATAGGAACACAAAACTATTGGTGGTAGATGTGTATATTTTGTATCACCTCTTTAGGTTACTCCAGTCAAATATGTCCCCTATGACTTATCCATTTTTAATATCCAGCAATCATAGAATCATAGAATCATAGATTATAGGA